AAAAGGGGGAGCATTGGGGGGGGGAAAAAAAAGTGGCGGGGGGAATCCCAGCCCTGGTCTTGAAAGGCTGGAGGGGAGGGGTGGCTACATGGCCGCGTCTGATGCTCCTTTGGGCAGAAACCGCGGATTTCTGTCATAAAACAGCAGCTTAGGGCCCCGCCGTGTGTGAGAGCAGCACTAACTCAAGCACATTGGTTAACCCCTTCTCCCAGGACAGTTTTTGGAGATCTTTCCCCCCACGCTGATTCATCACTTGGGCAATACCCCCCTTCACGGTCGCTGACTCCCGGGGCGAGGGCGCGCGGGATGCGCGTCACGGCTGCGAGGGGGCCGCGCTGCCGCCGTGGCCGAATCTCACTGGGAAAAGTTGTTCCCGCTTCCTGCCCACCCCCGGATGGGTGACTCGGGTTTGGAGGCCGAGCTCCTCGGGCCTGCGGTGGGATCCAGCCTGAGGGCTGCCCGCATCATCTGCTGCTTAATCTCATCTTCCTGCCTCTTCTGGGAGGAAAAAAAAGTAAATTATTACTCAAGTTGCTTGCCAATACTTACACCATCTGTGCTAACCTTATTTTAACACATCTGTTTATTGCTGTGTAGCTATTTCTAGACACCTTTAACACTTCTCCCCCCCCCACTACTGAAAGCTTGTTTGTCCAATTAAAAAAAATATATAGTTTGCCTCTCCCCGAAATAAGTCTAAATGGAATGACTGAAATAAAATGTGGCCAAGCACAAACAAAGAGGAGTCTTTACTTTAGCCACAGAGCTTGGAGTTCCCCTCTTCTCAGCCATCAGGTTGCAAAACAACTTCTAGGACTTTGCAAGTAGCCAGCCTTTCAGATAACTCTGATTCCAATAACTGCCCCCTTGCTCAATCACACACTTAGTTCTGTGTATGCTACTAAAACTCAGTATCCCACTAATGCAGCACTAGAGCTTTACCAAGAGATACCCACTGGGCATAGGTTGCTAACGTATAGTGTTAGAGAAGTCATTAGTTCCTCTAGAACAAAATTTTCAGAGGGGAATTAGGTCAAGGCTCCCCTTGATGGAGGAGGTAGTGAAGCTTCTGTGGGACCTGCTCTCCTTGTCAGTAATCTTGTTCTCTTCCTCCTCACTATTCAAGATCTATCAAATTTTGCTTTCCGCAGCATTATGAAACTTCTCCCATGGAAAATGTTACAACTCTTTCAGTGGCTTGTCAGTAAATACCGAATGCCTCACTTCCCTCCCAAAAGTGAGGGTTAGTTGTTTTTCAAATTTGAACAGGATGGTTTAATTCTACCAATCCTGTGATTTCCTTTTGAAAGAGCAAGTTGCACCTTGGGTGGCCAGATGCAGTTTGGACGTTTGGCCATTAAGTAGGAGCAAGTGGCTCTTAACTCACAGGTGAAGTGTCTGTGGGGGTGACCTGGGGCACCGAACACTGTCCTTGGATCTGAGCTTCTCTAACAGCTCCTGTCTCTGCAAGGGATGGACCCGCTTCTTCCCAGGCCACGTTCCCCTTTCCTCCTCATGCACTAGCAAGTATCCGATGCCAAGCTGGCAAGCTGGTTTGGCAGAAGGCTTTAAGGGTTCAGTTATCTCGCTGTTAGGCCGGACGGGTGCCAAGGGGGAAGGGAGTGATGTGAAGGCAGAGCCGGGGTGGTAACGGGCTGGCTGGATTGCTCCCATTAGGAACTAGCCATTAACTTAACTTGGTTATGGCATCATTTGTATCCAGCAGGCGCACAGAGCAGCTAGCAAGAAAGAGAAAGTCCTTTGCTCCAGAAATCCCCTGTTTTCTCAGGGCCAATGTGAAGTTTGAGGGCTGCAGCAGAGGGGACAACTATTTGATGTGAATGTGTGGGTATTCAGGCTTCTTGGGTCAGGTGGGCTTGCTGGTTTGGGTGAACAGGTGGGCCTGCTTTTTAGATAAAGCTATGGAAAAAGCTTTTAAGGAGTGTTTAAAATCTAGATGATGTGCAATACAGACCAAGGGAGTTCTTGGTTCAGATTGATGCCCAGCTCTAGCCTATATGGGTGTTTGTTTTAACACTAGCCCAATATTATGAAATTAAATAACTTGCATATCCAGATGTTAAGCTTCTTTAGGGATCTTTGCTAAAATATTGCATATTAGGCCCTTCAGAGCAGTCCCCAAATGCTTCTGTCATTACCATAGTGCAAATAGCTATACCCAGGCCCCATGCTGGGCCTGGACTCATCGCATAGGGTTACAGAGCTGGTTGCTTTTCTAATTCCCATTAGAGAAAGCAAATCTCAAGCAACTTTTCTAGTGTCTGTAATAATCTTTAGGAATGTGGGTGCTTGGTATTTCTGTCATTTTAGAAAAATTACAGACAAAAACACAAGGAAACTATTGAGTCATTGTACTGCAGTGAAAGGACTGTAAGGAAGAACCAGACTCCAGGGGGTTTATTTAATTTTCCAATATAAATGCTGGTGCACATTGTTCAACTAATTGTAACATCTTGGCATCTTATTTCATGGAAAACAGAATGGAGAAGAAAAGGCTACATTATAAGTCTGAAGTCTTTTGTTGCATTTTATATTATTGTCAAGAACTGAACTCACAGTGTGATGTCAGTGCACTGATTCTTTATGGTTATAAACCAAATGGCCTATTCCTGTTAGGCTGGAAAACTTAGAATTGTCCTATGAAAAGTGATAGAAAGATACAGTATATCGGTAAGATACCCTATTTTAAAGACTTGTTTAATAAATAGCACTCAGTACTTCACATAAATCCCTTTTTTCACATGTATTAGAAATGACAAATGTCTTAAGAAGTATTTCTGCCATTGAATGTAGTATAATTAAGACTAGAAACTTTCTCATGGTTGAGAACTCTATTCTTGCCCTCTGAAATAAACACGAGTATTATTCCCAGGATTCAGGTTCTATTTGAGCTACAACTTGTAGCTGCTGGTCTGGTGTGATGGGCATTACTGTCCTTCAGATTGTTAGGTAGAATCATCTTAAGTGGAGCTCTGCAGGTTAGTGGAAGAAAGCGACTTGCTGAGTTCATTTCCTTCTCAGTGCTTGTAATGTACAGTTAGGTGACAGCAAGATTTCCTGGCTGTGCATTGGTCTTAAAATATCTGTAATGGTGACATGGCTTGTCTACACTTAGGAAAGTGGGCAGGGATTAATTGCTTTCAAATTTGAGAGCTAGAAGAAGTATATATTTTAGAAAGAATCTCAAAGTCAAAGTGGGATCACTTCACCTCTTTGCAGGCAGACTTTTTTCATATGTGTTTGAGTATTTCAAGCCTCCTTTTGGAAAAAGGGATTTTAAGAAGAGATTTGATTTAGAGATTTCTGGATCCTGTTGTGCATCTTTATTAAACTAAGAAGAGTATCTAAATCTATCTTTGCCCTCATAATCCCATTAGAGGGGGGAAGTGGCAAACATATACCCTCTGGTATGTCTTAATGCCTTGGCCGCTAGCACAGAACTGGCTGTT